GCTTTTTCTTGACCCATGAAAAAGAGCAAAAAGCTGTCTGCAGCTGTTTTACTTTCTGTTTGTTATGCTGCATTTTGTCACTAGTATTCCCATCTATTTTAAGTTTTCTATAGTTTTTGTTCTTGTGTAACTGTTTCAGGCAGTATGCATTAATCTTGTACTTAAATGATAATGCCTACTTATTCAAGTAGTACCTTTATCTGCTTATATTATCTCTCTTTTTTAACCTGTCTTGACTTCTAAGAACCCTAAAAAGAACTTTTCCCAACTAGACATTTAAATCTATGGAATACAAAAGGTGTAAATGCAATGAAGGGAATTGAATGCTTTTAGAAGTTGCATTAAATTCCATATAATTTATAATTATAAACCTGTCTTCAGCAGAATTAAATAATCTCAAGCTGAGACAGACATAATATTTAAACATGATTGTAAAAAATTTCTAGAGTAAAAACATACCTATTTCCTGACATACTCATTTTATCTGTCCTCCACAAGTTCTATGCTTAGTCAATCACAGTATTGTATGCATCTTTTACTCAAAGTTTTAAGATAAGAGACTTTACTAATATGTATGACAAATACAAACTTCAAGTAGTACAGGCACTTCATTTTTAAATTCTATCAGATACCAAACACACACAACTTGCTTTTGAGACTTCGGATTTTTTTTTTCAGACAGCTTGCCTTTGGGCAACTTAATTTGAAAATAAACTCTCAGATGATCTAATGAAGACAACAATCTAATAACAAACTAGGGAATATTTGAGTAAAGTGATTTTCTCCTAATAGAAAAAGATTTCTGAAGAACAAGGGGAGAAAAGTAGATGAGGGACAAAAGAGTGTTAATCTTCAAGCAATCTTCCCTTTCTGGCATTCCATTAATCTATTACAGAAAAGAATATGTAGAGCATAGAGCTCAGAGAGGTTGTTTTGAATCCCCAGACTAACTTCAACATCAATAATCTTTGAAACAAGTTCTGGAGCAGGATAAAATTTCTGCTCCAGGTGAAAATTTAGGACAGAACCCCAGATACTAGCAATAAACTCTGTTCATATGTTTGTGGAAACACACAGTGCAGAGCTTCCTTTTTAAACTAGATCAATAGAAGGTCTTTCAGCCATTTTCTAGCAAACCGGCTCCCAAAGGGGCCTTTGTACCTTGTGTGCGTCTCCACAGCAGGTGAAAGGGACAATAGTCGTGTGTTCCTCCCAAAGGATCTCCCCTCTCCTGCAACTCATGCATCTGTACTTGTCTTCCCATTAATTTTTGGTTTTAACTTCTACTGCTTTTCTACCTTAACTCTTTCTCCCTGCTTCTTGTTGTATATTCCTCTGCCACTCTCTTCCCTTCTCATTAGGTGATCCTGTTTCTCCTATTTTTCTTCCTTACCATTTTTTATTTCTATTTTCCCCTATATTATCTGTTCCTTTCCTACAGAATATCTTAGCCTATATTGTATTCCCATATTGTAAGTTTCAGTGATAAAGTTCTAAAACTGGAAGAATGTAGCTGCATTTCTCTTCACAGAGAAAAGCAAGGCACAATTCTTCCCAAGGATTTCTGAGATACACATTCTCTGAACCTCAGAGAAAGGAAAAGCAATTCTTATCTCATTTGCTGTGCCTGTGTTTGTGCAAAAGCAGAATAAAATATGAAGATTGTTTATCCAAAGTGATGATGTTTTGTTTCCTTGGCTTATCAGAACCAAAAGTGTGTGTGTGTTGGGACTGTCAGCTGACAGTCACCAGAGAGTCACAAGATGAGTGCAGGTGAGCAGGGTTGAGTGCTTGGCAGATTCAGTTTAGATGTAATGTAATATAGTGTAGTATAATATAGAATAATATAGTATAATAACATAATTAATTAGCCTTCTGATAAGATGGAGTTCTTCTCATCATTTCTCCCTGCCACGGGGGTCGCTTTGATTCGATAGAAGAGATGGTGTGTTGGAAAAAGCCATAGCACAATGGCTGCTGAAAAAGATCTTGGCTGAGAGGTTACAAAGGGTTGTGGTATCACTTTTTAGTTCAAGGAATACTGAATTGATGTGTTAAGGAAGCCCAACACTCTCAACAGCATCTGGCACAAAGCCCTAACAAGGACATAAAGAGCTCAGCAACAACTGTTTCAGCCCAAGAACACGCCTCAATCACACACAAAAAGTAGCAATACAGACATGAGCAGTTGAGAAAGTTGTAGGCTATGTAAACAAATGGCAAACACATTTGAGACTAGCTACGTATGAGGAGCTACATAGAGAAGAAAACTTTGAGTCACAGAATATCAGTGAAACAGATTGCTAGAACAGACGTGTGCAGGTAGCTAATAACTAGACCATTTACATAGGAGGATATATTTCATTCACAAATTACAAAACAAGCATGATGTTACAGTGAGTATCAAGAATGTATAAAATCCTGCGATCTGCCTATAGCAGAAACCTCAGGATAACAGCAGACCATTACAAATAGAAGACAAAATACATATGCCCTTTCTTTCTTTTCAGAATAATGTCATATATAGGGAGGTTTTTTGAATTTACTTTTAACAGGGGCAAAAATCTGGATAGAGACATAGCTGTTTGTCCTGCTATATTTCTAATTACTTATAAAGATAACTTTTGGAAGTTTGAAAATGTAAACATAGAAGAAAATTTGGGCCGCTGTGTTCATAAAACACATAGTTCACAATTCTTTGAAACAGCAGAAGTAAGCAATTAATTTCAAGAAGATTCCCTAAAAAATAGAATAAAGTGAAGGAAAGGAAATCTTTGAGTATATTCTTGCTTTTTCCTGCAAGAACAGTACAATTTAATGTAATCAGAAAAAGAAAAGGAAGGACAGTAAAAAATAATTTAAAAACAAGTGTTTACACTTTCATTACTTGTAGCAAATTAATTAAAAAATATTAATCCACAACACCATGGAGATGGAAACCTATTTTCTTTCAAGTAGTACTTCTGTGCATAGCCAAAAACAAGTTGTGCTCAGATGGAAAACACAATTCCATGGGGAAAAAAAAAATCTTTTCCTTGAGAATTTAGGTTACACAAGAAAAGCTCATAAGTTCACCCACAAAGATTCTCAGAGACACAGTGGCAGGAGGGGCAGCCCAAATACCTTGCCAGGCTACTGCCAGGCCCAACACAAGAGCCCTGTAAGGCCACTCTGTACCAGCCTAAAGGAGCACCGGGACATGCAGTGGCAGGTAGGAGCTCAAAACAAGGACTCCAAGTAAAACATGCAGCAGCTTTTGTTTTATGTTGGAGAAACTAAGTTGAATGTAAGTGAAAGTGTTTAACAGCTGTACCTTGTTTACTGACAAGTTCCTTACTGACTGTATTACCCTCATAGTTACTTCATTAAAAAAAAAAAAGAAAAAAAGAAAAATGACAAAAGAAAAGTTGAAATTTCAACTTCCCTGTGCAAATACAGTCAAATATATTTTAGAGGCTTAGACACATACGTGTTACTGTTAAAGTACGTGGAAGGATGGCTTTCAACAAGGCATGATATTAAATTTGACACAACAGTATTCAAATTAACGGTAGGAGGCTTAGAGAATCAATGAAGCCAAAAATTCAGACAAAAGGATTGACAGCAATCATTTCATAGCCTTGAACACAAAGCTGCCTTCAGTCTAGTTAATGCCAAGCACCACTACAGAAGTGTAAAATTTACCAGGTGAGGCATAAAGCCATTAACAAGAGAAGATCAAAATAACTGCATTATATTGCTCATTTACTTTATTTGAAGTACTTAAAATGTGTGCTCCAGATTTCTATTCTGCACAGATACTGTTAGCAGAGTTGTTTCACAGTTCATTGCACTGATGGACTGAAACATGTAAAATAATAGAACAGGTTAGTTTGAAACTGTGCAAACCCTAAGAGCATCTGAAGCAATCCAACAACTGTATTTTCCGATTTCTCCATGGTGTGGATGGTAAACTTGCTATCTTTACAAGTACCAGGACTTGAAAATAAAATGTCACAATCCCATTCTCAGGTGACCCACGCAGATTGAAGGAATAAAGACAAAAGTGACATTCACGAAAAAAAGAAAACTTAATCACTTTAAACACTTTTTCCAAGGGTTGCACAAAAGCAAAACAGTTCTTGTGCAACATTAGATCAACATATATTTAACTTCAATAAACAGGAGGAGTGAAAAACAAGAATGGAAAGGATCAAAAAATGCAGAGCTGAAAGACTTCCAGTGGTCTAATCCACCACTCTGCTTCAAATAATGATTTTCTGCACCTAAATCATTCTATTGACACATTCTCCAAGACTGGCAATGCTGAATATTCCAAAATATCTGTTATTCTTGTTATGGGTTTATTTACAACAAATAAACAGTAACAGCTCTAAATTACTCTAGCCTGAATAGAAATATATATATATATAATTTTCTGGATTACTTGAAAACTCTGGTTTCCTCTGCAAACTGGTCAAAATCCTTAATTTATTCCCAAAATCTATGGATGTTTTACAAAAAGATGACAGATAACAACTTTAATTATTTATGTAATCATCACCAACACTTGCATATCTTCAGCAATTTCACAACAGTTAAGTAACATTTATTTATGAAATAATGAGAAACATTTGCAGCCCTTCTAAAGAATTCAATGTATGCCATTGATTAATAAAGCCCTTAATAATCCAGTTTCACCCCTCAATGATCCTGAAGTAATAACACTGCACCATATAAGGTAGCAAAAGTGGATGTTTCAGATGAGGGAAGCATGGAAAAATTATCCTGTATGGGAAAATTAAATGCATCCAGAAATTGGTGCCAAGGAGTGAAGCTGGGTGGCTTAGCTTACATCCTGGATTTTAAATATAAGCTATAAATACCCATATGCACACAAAAAACCATTCTGTCTGTTAGCTAATATAAGTAAAAAGCTGAATTTAAAGGATATAGCTGTATGAACACTCACTAGCAGTGCTCTGTATCACAATAAATAACCAAAAGCACCACATACTTACCTGAAGTTTGGAAAACCTCATTCAGCAAAGCTTCATTTACCACCACTGAACTGACATTTCCAACAGGATGACACCAGCTCTGATAAATAGTTTGAAGCAGAAGGGTTTGAGCTCTAGTTGCTTGAACTGTCAAATTAGGGAGCTCAAAAATGCATTCTGTTAGCGGGACATGAGCTCGCTTGGACCTGTTTAAAATAAAAGAAAGATGGAAAATCATTACTTTGTCACATTAAAAAAAAAAAACATTTAAAACTTAGTCACAGAATATTCATTAAAAAAAAAAAAAAAACCCATTTTAAAACGTAGTCACAGAATATCAGAGTACAAGCAGTTAGTTTGTAAGGGTTGAACTGTGTGCTTATTAGATTTCTTAGATTAGAGCTGATTCTACTTACTCTGAAATGAAACCTAAAGATTAATTGTTACATGATTTAACTTTAGATCTCCCTGCAGAATGTGACAGAAAAAACCCATATCTTTTTATCTAATTATCCCTTGATTTGAAAATATTAAATAAAAGCAATTCCATGTGCTCCCATCAAAATAAGAGCTACTCAAAGGTATGCAGATACTAAAAACAACTATTCAAAAATTGAATGTTCCAGATTTTTTTATTTACAAAGCTTACAGTGCATCACTAAATGACATATGGCTAGTGACCCAGAAAACATATAGACAATATTCATACATCAAAATATAAATAAGCCCACATTCTGTATTTTGCTAACAGAGCTCATTAAGTGATTCTATGATTTTTTCAATGCCTCATCTTTTAACTGGGGAGGAGCAACAGGAGGAGACAGGCATTCGACAGGGCAAAGTAAAGGACATTTGTTTGGAAAATAAATTCCTCTGCGACAATATAATGCTCCATCAACAAGAATGCTTTACAAAAACTATAGCAAAGTTGGCAATTTACTTTTTTTTTCCTAATCTACACACTATTACCTGAAATCAAGCAACAGACTGATTTACTACATTCAACAAAAACTATAAAGGTTCTTTAGCCCTCCCAGTTTGGAGCCTTTTCCTGTATCATGTTTTTAACACTATGATTTTTGCCCTAATCACCTCCCATTCCACCAATGAAATGTACTTTTTCTGCTATTTAGCATTATTTTCTCTAATGTCCTACGTGGCAGGAAGGTTGGAACTAGATGATTTTTAAGGTTGCACCAAATCTTAACCATTCTACGATTCCATGAAATATAAATACTGATCCATGTATTAGCTCTCTCTCATTCTGGAGCATCTCCTCCATTAGAAAATTTTAGAGACATGTTTCAACCCCTTAAAAATAAATAGTAGGTAAATGTTCCACTGGGAATCAGAGCCTCAAATGAGGCAAAGCTGCTGAAACTGCACACAAAATCCATTGGCCCTGAAGAAAAGATTGCTTTACCAAAATGCTTAGGGACTGAAAATGTAAAGACATGCAGACATTCAATGAATCTTCAGATCAGCAAAATCAAAACTTTCCAAGGAACTCAGAAGCAGCCATAATACACCACATCTTCTACAGGCAAAGCTGCTGAAACTGCACACAAAATCCATTGGCCCTGAAGAAAAGCATGCTTTACCATAATACTTAGGGACTGAAAATGTAAAGATATGCACATATTTAATGACTCTTCAGATCAGGAAAATCAAAACCTTCCAAGGAACTCTCAGAGGCAGCCATAATACACCACATCTTCTATCTAGGCCCAAAAGAAAATGCTGCAGCTGTATGACCTAACATGTGAGATAGTACTGGCAGTAGAGACTCTGCAGGAGGCTCCATGAATTAAGAAGCAGGCCATTTACGATGCTCAAATTCTAAAATCCTCAGCAGCAAAAAATAACACAAAATTCTGGTAATAAGGAGTAGACTTCTTGAATATTCTGCATCTGATAGTGAGAGTGGGCCTTCACCAAGACAACTGTGAAGAAAAAAATACTACATCACTTCTCAGACCAGGATCACTACGCTCAAGATGAAGCAGCACAGTAATAAAATATTCTCCTGCTAACTCTTCTGGCCCATAAGCTGCAGATGTGACTTATGAAGCATGGTTTGGAAATAAGCATTCTGAACATCTGAAGACATCTCTCAACCACTGTGTTTACACAATGGTACAGCTAAACATAATGTCATCAATTTGAATTTAGACTTGGCCATACAAGAATTCACCTCAAGTTCTAAACAGAGCTCCTTCCTTTAATTCCTTGTCTATACAAGCAAACAGCTGGTAAGTGAAAACCATCTTCTCTGGACCAAGAGGAATTAAGCTCAGTGTTAGATACTTACAGTAAAAACAATTATCCACACCTAACACTGTGGTCTAGAACCTTTTAAGGTAAATCGAAAGACAACAGCACTTGTAGACACAGCAGATATCCATTCATTCAAGATCTGAGGATTACAAATTTAATGTCTCTGCAGGTCACTGTTTCTGCCCACTGCTTATAAAGGGACATTACAATACTTCTCAGCTGTGGATGTCTACACCACAGATCCAAGTGTCACATAAAGCCCATCCACAATAGCCACTGCTCCTCACTATTTTAATATGAAAATAAAAAGAAAAACTGAGTCTTATGAAACAAGATACTCATTAAAGATTTTCAGAAATGGATGCAAATACAGATGAGGGACAAAGAACAAACAAAAACAGATGTTGTAACCTTCAGTAATAGTAATCAGTATTCTTGAGAATGAGGTTTTCCAACCTCATAAAGCTTGGAATCAGGATTACCTGTCTCAAAAATGCTGAGAAGGGGGAGGAAACCAAAAACAAAACTGTCTCTGATTTGCATCTCATTTGAAGCTAATGACACAATTATGCTCCCAGCTCCAAATGCCATTTGCAGAAAAAAAACACAGATGAAGGAAAAACATTTCATGTTTATATGGAAGAACTCAGCTTTGTGTTTGGTAGTAGAAATTTCTTTCATATGAACACACACCATGCTCCACAACACCCCTGCAAAAACAGCGGTCTCCTGTTCGAATAAATCCATCCATCTTTGAAGTCTGAATCTACCTATAGGTACAGCCTTTGTTGCTAGAAAAATCAAAACTCATTAGAGGCCTTTGAAGAACAGATTAAACCAAAAAAAGTTGGGGTTTTTTTTTGTTTGTTTGTTTGTTTTAATAGGAGTTCACAAACACCAAACAGTGAGCTAGAACAAAGAAGTTACATTTGACCTGTTTGGGGGAACTTTGCATCTCCCACCTGCCTCATCTGCTGACAGCCAAGTACACATTTTTCTGAAGTACATGACCAGACTCCATTCCAGGCTCACTTCTACCAACTGCAGCACAGTAGGTCACCAAAAGGGTAAGAAATATCTGTAAAAAACTCCTGAAGCTCTTCCTGTTTCAGTTTGAAGTTTAAACACACTGCAAAACTTGCCTGAAAATGCCCTTCTCACAGAAAGTACAAATTATAGAAAAGAATGTATCCAAACACATTTGAATTTGAATCCATTTTAAAAAAAAGGATTTTTCTAAACATAGAAAGTACAAATTATAGAAAAGAATGTATCCAAACACATTTGAATTTAGCTGGTGTAAAAAATCCATTTTAAAAAAAGCATTTTTCTAAACAGCAGAAAATTACCTAGTCTGAAAATTAGAACTACTTTAAGGAGACATGAAACAAAAACTGAAAATAATACTTCATTACATACATACCTAATACTAAGTATTAGGTCAGGCAAATAGACAGAGATGCTGTCTGGTTTAAAAAAAAACAAAACAAAACAAGACAAAAAAAACAACACACTGCAAAACTTGCCTGAAAATGCCCTTCTCACAGAAAGTACAAATTATAGAAAAGAATGTATCCAAACACATTTGAATTTAGCTGGTGTAAAAAATCCATTTTAAAAAAAGCATTTTTCTAAACAGCAGAAAATTACCTAGTCTGAAAATTAGAACTACTTTAAGGAGACATGAAACAAAAACTGACAATAATACCAGTCTTAGGTCAGGCAAATAGAGATGCTGCCTGGTTTAAAAAAACAAAACTAGATTAAAAAAACACCAGTGGAAAAAAAAACACTTTACTCAGACACCCAAAAGGAATAAAGAGCCTGGAACATATTCTGATCATTACTACCACACAAATGCACAAGAGGACACATGATCACTGTCTTGTGGATACAATTACATAAAACATGTGTCCCATTCCAGCTCCTCAGCTACACAAAAAATGCTCTGTGCAAATTACACACATATGCCTGTAGCCACCCAAAGAAAAGCTCAGGGTACCATGAAAAGCACAGGTGAAGACTACAATTCTGAAACCTTTTCTGATGTTCACCCCAAGTTAGAATTTGAATTTGTTTTCCTAAATTTCCTAGGGTTCAAATCCAATCTTGTTTCCTGCTATTCCTTTTTTTTTTTTATTATTTTTAAGTCACATACTGTAATCCTTTATTATTTATCTCAGTATGGAAGTGCACTGTTACATTTTTCCTTTCTGGTATTTTTTCCTTTTGTTATCCTTTTACACAATGTTTTCTCTATTTCCCCCCCTTATTTCTAAATATTGTTTTGCAGAATTAAAACTAAGTATTTCAGAACAAAGTGTTTAAATACTTAAAAAGATGGGTTTCCTAATGTAAAATTGGGAAGGAACCAGTAAGGTAGAAAACATTTTTTCAGCAAACTTCAGAATGAACATGACTCAACAACAAGTCCATCTAAACACATTTTTATTAACAAATTAATGTATTTCAGAGGGAATCTAAAGAGCTATGACAATCACAGCATACAATAGAGCAGTACAAAAGATTTTGCTTTAAAAGTCTGACTATTCAATTAATACATATTACAGCTACTGTACTGACCTATGCTACATTCAAAACTTAAAAGTTGCACATAAAATTGTCCCTTAGGACTAGTAACAGCATATGAATTTTTTTTTAAACAATATGCAAATTCTACACTTACTGTACTTTAACAATCCCACAGGAATAAAGTCTTCTGGTCCTTTTCAGACACATTTGGAGGAATGGGAAGTTGAAAATAAATCCTTTTTTATAGAAAAAAAAAAATCAAGGCGGGGGAAGTATTGTACCATGTGTGCAGCAAATGTTCCTTAAAGGAAATTTTAACTAGACCCGGCTAGTGATGAAAGTACAATTATAATTCAGGATTTATTATAATAGTTTTGAAACACAAATAATGCATTTA